ATCTACATAAAAACATACAAAATGTCGAAATACCATAAAGCCTACATAATATTTTTAATAGCATACCTATAGTCGTTCACTCAATAGGTATATAGATATTATGTATTATCAATAATAATGCAATTATTGTTCTACAATAGATAAATGCTTCGGGACAACCAGAACCTGCGAAGTTCCTTGAATATGTGAACCGTGTTAATAATTCAGGCATTAAAAGTCAAATGCAACATATTTATGATAAATGCCAGAATGGTAAGTTTCTATATTTTGTTACTACCTAATATTGATTATTATTGAATATTTTATACTAGTGATAGGTCGAACCTTATTTTAAGTCGTCGAACCAAACTCAAACTGAACATTGTCAAAGTATTGCGAACTCGAATCGAACCAAAATACTAAAATTATTTATCGAACTAAAATTCGAACTCACCATTTTATTTTATTTTATCATAATATGTACCTACCTAATATAGTAATAATAATTAATATTTAATACTTTAATAGTTGAATACTATTGTGATGTGATACTTAAATTTTAATTTCTATAAAGTAGAGAAAATTAATTTTAAATATTGTTAAGCTAAGAGGAAGTGATACCTACATGGGTTGTCTTAGTCTTACAAGTGCGTAACGTTTCAATTGTACGTTCAGCAAAAGAAAGGTAGTTCTGTTAATTTAAAATTTAGAYAGAAAAATTGACCTCTAATAAAATTTAAAGGCATGATTATTACTAGGACTTCTCATAGACTTTTTATTTAATTTTAATTTTAATACGAGTTATGAATATTTTAAAATTGTAAATTGTTTATATCTAAAATATTCACAACTCGCGGCTTACGAGAGCTACACTTGCCCAGTTCTACAGAGCGTACAATTACAATGCTACGGACTTGTAAGACGGAGAAAACACATGCGGGAATCGCGAATATTTCAAATTCAATTTTCGAATAGTAAAAGGATGCTCGATAGTTCGATTCAAAATTTTTTCATACCAAGTTCGAATTTCGAACCGAACATTATTACTAGAGTTCGTTTCGGTATCCGAATAGTTCAACCTACTTTATAGTTTATACTTATGATTAATTAATATTTTTGAATACATCAAATCTTTAAAATATAAATACCTACTTACATCATGTTTTTGTTTATGAAGTCAAAGGGGTGGAGAAATGCGATCTCGCCGAGCAATTTGCTATATGTGCTTTTAAGGAATCGCCAGCAGTAAGTATAAGAACATCAAGTATGCCTCTGAATAGGTATATTAATTTGATTTTAGACATAGACTTATGTATTATTGTTTTTTACTTAGCTGAAAGAACGGATGACCACGTTATTGGAGATGTTAGTGAAGATGAAACCAAAATCGAAATAAATCCCTGCAGTCACCCATACTAATTTGTCCACTTTCAAATCTGTTTTCTTTAATAACATTATATAGACCTACCTATAGGTAAATACTGTTAATACTTACAAGACCAATTATAATTATATTTAATAATTTAGATTTTCGATTTACCTATAAGATTAAATAAACATGCAATTTCAATAAATTATTTACGTATGTGTTTTTCGTAAAAACATTTAACAATGCTTATTGATAAGTAAATTGATAACATATTTCAAAATAAGTCCCTATGAATTATACATTATATTATTGTATTGGCAATCGGCATTGTGTCTGTATGGTTCGTATTTTTTTAACCAAATTGTTTAAGCTGTTGAGTTGATTGAAAAGATCGGTAAAACTGAAAAAATAAAGTGTACCTATACAATCAGAATTCCGAAGAACTATAATTAACCAGCTACATAGTAATTCAGGTATATGTATAGCAAAACGAACAGGATTTTTAAATTTTTTTGTGTCGAAGGCTTTGATCCACATTTAGAAACAGTAAAAATGGATTGTTATTCGTTATTCAACAACTAAATCTTTTTTAGTATCAAAGTGTATTTAGTAGGTAGTAATCAATTTTCATAATTAGGATGAAAAAAAAACTGGAATTTTTACCTGAAACTAGTTTTTGACAAAACCAATCTTATTATTTTGCAGTAAATCACAAAACGAATAAACTAATACATGACATTTTCATAAAACGTTTATTGTTTATACTACTTTTTCTATACATAATTTTAAAAATATTTTTGAATTTTTCCCTTAAAGGTTGATAATAAATGTATCCTCGGTTAAAAAGCTAGAAAGTGTAATATACATTTCCACATTAGTAATTAGTTTAAAAAATATACTTTAACATGTTTGTTTTACAAAAGTTAGAAGATTACATTTTTACAAAATTAGTCAAAACAACAATTTCAGTGAAACATTTATAACATTTTCAATTTGTATAGCTTTAGTTAAAAATTTTGTTCAAGGTTCCTTGTAAGTAGTTCATACTAAACTCAAAAATCTAAAACACATAATATAAGCACAACTATTGCGTAAATATGGCGGGGAAATAAGAAAACATCAGTTGATTAAGGAATGTTACAAAAATAATAACAGT